GCACGGTATGTCATCACCTGTGACTGTATATCTATTTTCTAATTTGTTTAAACCTGACTCTTTTTGACATTTAAAGGGTGCTGATCACGACAAACCAGGATACCAACTGAAAATAATTTGTTGATGAACCTCAAAACTGAAAACCAAAATGGCCGCCAAAGAACCTTTTCAGTGGACAAAATACTGAATGCTTAGATTGGTATATGATGAAACATATATGACCACTGTACAATTAAAATGTTAATATTGTTGTCACCACAAGATATAGAACTGTCTTTCATTAAAAACAATAAATGAATTGGATTTTGTGAAAAATATTATTTCATCCCAAGTCAGAAAAGTGTACACTTTACGATTTCAACTATGTTGCCGTTTTCGTGAAAGAGACGTTGTGCCATTTTGACGCAGTGACACTTCAGCTTGAAACCGATTGTGAAAAACAGCTGGCATGCTTCTTACAGCAACGCACCTTGAGTTAAATGTAACGAAAAGGTGGCTCGCGATGAACCAATGTGCATGAGCCAAAATTATGATTTTTATGAAGAAGCATGTACAATGTGAATGACTCCCCTAAAATATATGTTCAAAATAAGTGCCCCCGCATCTCATGTACAAAATCAATGCTCCCCTTCCCCTTCACATAAATTCGAAGCATAATGGTAAACATATTTTTATGTACAAAATTGCTGACCCCCCAGCTCCTCAGAACAAAATAGGTGATCCCCCTTAAAATCATTCAAGGGCCGATTCTGGAAAAAGTCTCAAATAAAAGATGATGAGGCATTTTTTAGTAGGATTTGTTATCCGGGCTACTTTACATATTTAAAGGGTGCTGATCACGAAAAAATAGGATACCAAGCTGAAAAAAGTGTTTTTGACCCTCAAAATTGAAAAACAAAATGGCCGCCAAAATCGCCTAAAATATTGGTAGGTGTGCACAGTATTTTCGCCTGTGACTGTATCTCTATTTTGTAAATTTTGGAAACTTGACCTTTTATGACATTTAAAGAATGCTGATAATGAATAATAGGATTCCAAGCTGAAAAATGTTTTTGGGACCTCAAATTTGAAAAGCAAAATGGCCGCCATAGTCACCGCAAGTAGTGGTAGGCGTGCACGGTATGTCATTACCTGTGACTGTATATCTACTTTCTAATTTGTTTAAACCTGACTCTTTTTGACATTTAAAGGGTGCTGATCACGACAAAACAGGATACCAACTGAAAAAAAGTTGTTTATGAACCTCAAAACTAAAAAACAAAATGGGTCAAATTACCTTTTCAGTGGACAAAAATACTTAATGCTTAGACTGATGTATGATGAAACATATATGACTACTTTACAATTAAAATGTTAATATTTTTGTCACCACAAGATATAGAACTGTCTTTCATTAAAAACAATAAATGAATTGGATTTTGTTAAAAATATTATTTCATCCCAAAATTTGTTCAAAACTGATTTATCAAAATTGTCATAAATTATTGGGAAAAAGTTGTTAACAAAACGTTTTAGACAGACAGACACACAGACAGACAGACAGGTTTATTCGGTAATTTAGGCCAGAGGCCCATAATACATACATTTGGCAAGAGTAAATACATACTGAGTAGAGCTAAGTAAAGTTTAGTATTGATTTGTTTTACAGACAATCATTCCTTCTACGGCGAACTTGTGAAAGATATTTACTCAATGATTTTAAAATATGTATATTGTCTGATGACAACAATCGGATGAAGGTTTCAATTGTCGGTGGTTGAGTCAGATATATTGAAAAACAATCAGATCTTTGTTGGGAATATTTTGGACATATTAATAAAATATGGAATTCATCTTCGATGGAATCGATGTAATCAAGGCCAGCAGCATGACAAAAGAGGCAGAGACGTTCATTATATGGGGTGTTTGTATGACGGCCACATTCCACTGCGAGTCTGAAAACGTTTTAGTTGTTACATAGTTCAAATAGTTAGCAACACATTATGAAGCATTACTGAGCACAGTTGTAATTGTTTTGAATGTTTAATAAAAAAGGTGGTAATTTGACAATTCAAAATAATGAACGGCCCCTTTACTTTTGATGACAGCCTTTCTAAGACATGTCAAGTTGCTAGTGCAATTATTGTAAGTATTCCTCCTTTTACATTGATATTTTTTAATAGTGTATCTACTTTCGATAAGGGCAAATAAAAACAATAGAATGAATAATATACTGCATTTTCAGTTACAAAATGTAAGTGAAACCCTCATGTGCAAATCCTATTGGCTGGAAGAAATGTATGTTTTGTCAAGAAGTTAACTTGAAACAACATCAACATTCTCTATTCCGTGATGACATTTAACACCAGCTCTGATATTCTGGAAGCTTCTCGATTTGACCAGGACTTGAATTGTAAACTTGCTGGTGTATGTGACTAATTACTGCCGAGGCTATATATCATTTACCCTGTCTTAGTTCCTTTAAAAGAAATACGTCAAAAACCAAAAATGCTCATTACTGTAACACAGACCCACCAATGGCATGGTTGACCTCTGTGTTGCGTTATGATAGATACGCCATCTCATACTGGTGTTGAAGTTGATGAACAAAGTGCCGTCAGTTGCACAGTGTCTACATGTTCCTTAAACATTTGTACGTACACATCATTCAGGCAGTTGTTTCACAAAGCAGGACATACTTTAAGTTACAGGCAGGTGATGCGACTTGACACATCCATGAATCATACACTGGTTCTGTGATACCACTAAACCTCATACCAAACAGACTTGTTTTCTTCACAGCAGACGAAACTGATATCCTAGATGAAACCTTGGATGAAAAAAAACACCTTCCATGCACAAGTAGCAGGGTGGCAGCGTGGACCAGCCCCTGATGTGATTTTATACACATTGGAAACTATTAAAACTTTAGATATTCCAGATGCCATGTCAAAAGTCAGTTCAGCTAACATGCCTGCTTCTCTTGGCACACTTTCCTTCTCTTAGTCTCAAAGCTGACAACATCTGGATGTTGACAGGAACTGCTCAGACAAGAAAGTACATTCCAGTTGGTAAAGTCTACGAGAAACTTCCAGCATATTCTGTTGCATTACTGTTGCCATTTCATGCACGAACTAAGAGATCATACTAAGAGATCAGCCTGGGAGGTTTTTCTCAACCATCATCATCTCCTAAAGGTTTGTGGGCGCTGAAAACCTGAACCAAGACAAGACCAGATCCGCTGAAGTATTTGTGTGCCAGGTATACGGTGTTCATAATGTTCAAAGTGTGAACACGGCTCCTCCCTACATATCTGATCACAGCAAGAACTCTACGTTCCCAAACCATAACCCTGCTCCATGTTGCCATGGTGAAAAACATCCATCTCTCAATGGAGAGAGAACATATTCAGCCACTAAAGCCTGGAACTCTCTGCCCCAGTACCCGAAAGACTGTGAATCATTGTCATCGTTTAAGACCCAACCCAAAACCTTCCTGTTCAGACTTTTCTTCTCTGTATAACTTCTAGATCATCTCCTCTCAGACATGTGCGCTTAGAGCATGTACTGTGCATGGATTTAGCGCGTTACAAGTGGATTATTATTATTATCATTAAACCTGAGTTGATGCCACCAACAAGTGATGCCCTAATAGCCCTATGCCACCACATCCAGCGTGTCCATTACCAAATCATGATCTGGAGGAAAGTCTGGGAAGCTATTCCATCACTTCCCAAATTCACAGAGATTGGTCACAAAGATGCTTATTCAATGAATTTTCGAATATTATGAAATGTTGAATTGAAACTTGTTTATGGTTGTGTTATTAAGCATAACATGAGAAATTGGAATTCATATGTATATGACAATCAAGTGTGAATAACATTATTGTTATGACGTTGGTATGGTTCAGCTGATATATTGTGTTGAGAATTGTTTGTTAAAGTTTCATTGATTATCTGTATTGTTTTCATCCGAAATGATTAAAACTGTTCATGAAAAATATGTAGTTGTGTATTGGTATAACTTTGAATACTATTTGTTTCCTCACAGTCTCAATACCGTCAAGGTAACAATGATGTAATCAGCAGAAATCAGCTATGTTTGCGGCCATTTTGTATTTAAATTTTAAGCTTCATGATCAATTTCTTTTCAGTTGGTATTCTATTGTTTCGTAATCAGCACCCCTTAAATGTCTAAAAGAGTCAGGTTTAAACAAATTAGAAAATAGATATACAGTCACAGGTAATGACATACCGTGCACACCTACCACTACTTGCGGTGACTATGGCGGCCATTTTGCTTTTCAAATTTGAGGTCCCAAAAACATTTTTCAGCTTGGAATCCTATTTATTCATGATCAGCATTCTTATGTCATAAAAGGTCAAGTTTCCAAAATTTACAAAATAGAGATACAGTCACAGGCGAAAATACTGTACACACCTACCACTATTTTAGGCGATCCTGGCGGCCATTTTGTTTTTCAATTTTGAGGGTCAAAAACACTTTTTTCAGCTTGGTATCCTATTTTTTCGTGATCAGCACCCTTTAAATATGTAAAGTAGCCCGGATACCGAATCCTACTAAAAAAATGCCTCTTGCATTACTTTTATCCACAATCGGTCCTAGTCTAATACACTATTAGTTTATGTCAGTGTATGAAATAAGCCAAAAAAAACTTTAAAAACTTACCAGCCCAGAAGAGATTTGGCCAGTCCTGCTTAAATCTCAAATAGGCAGTGCCAGTGTACACGTTATCTGAATCAGAAAAAATTCACCCGTCCATCGGGCAGGTGCGGAAGTCGTCAGGAGATAAAAAAAACCCTCTGACTGTGGCACTAGGACGCTTCCGTAGGCTGGCAAGCTTTAAAATTAGACCGTCCGGCAGAAATCTAGCCCGTTTCGGGCGGTCGGACGGACCTTATTTCATACACTGTTTATGTTTGTCTTTATGTATGTCACCGTCTCAGTTTCACATTGGATATAATAGACCTGGTCTCTCACCATTCTTCTGTCATGTTATTTTATGATCGGTTTCATTTCTGCCTTTCTCGTTCTCGGGTCGTCTATATAAGGCGTTTTGGCCAGTTTACGCCTACGCCGCTTTGGTATTGGCCCGTTTTGACTATCAACCGGAACAGGCTTCGCTTGCAACGTGGAGAAGAGCCTGTTGTCCTAGCTGTTGATAAGGTTATCTGTGTAACTTTGTACAGCGTAGCTTGGTGTTGAAGGTGGACTTGAACATTACTCTATTTATTTCCTACCGTCGTGTATTTATTCTGATCTAGCCTGTTGTCACCATGAAAGAAAGTGTTTTGCTTCTCTTGCTACTGAGTCTATGCATGGACACATGTTGTAACCAGAGTCATGGTACGACCCAACTTAATACATTGTTTCTACAAAGTGTGTTTCGTGACATGGACAAGAATGGAACACTTTCATACGACCAGCTGGACAGCTTTGTAACAGAAGAGAGCCAAGCTTACAGTCACCCTGATCCACGCACCACGCCCACTCTTGAGAAAGAGTCTTCAGAAAAGAACAATTCGTGTGTAGCGATTGATAACGCGACCACTCTGATGAAGTGTATGGCCCATAAGGTATGTTACCGGTAGCAAGACCATGCAGGTTTTGTCAGGATTTGTAAAGGTTGGCGTCTAGGACTACCAATAATATATTTCAAGGGTCCTTCACAGGAAATATGTCCTTCACAAGTAAAGTAATGAAATGTTGCTGTGTGCTGTACGCTTTAATAGTTACTAAATTACAGGACCTCTATGTTTCTTGCCCAAAATTGTTTTCCACTTGACTCAAGAGAGAACCTTCTGCTAGTATTCCCCCTCCAACAGTTCCGGTTTTTTATTGTTGTTGTGTGTCCTTACACCTGTGTCTCATGTAGCTTCATTCATAAATCAACCCGTGAAGATCCGGGTTAGAATTGATCTTCAGTAACCCATGCTTGTCGTAAGAGGCGACTGATGGGATCCGGTGGTCAGGCTCGCTGAATGGGTTGACGCATGGCATCGGTTTCCAATTGCGTAGGTTGATGTTCATGCTGTTGATCCCTGGATTGTCTGGTCCAGATCTGATTATTTACAGACCGCTGCCATTCGTTGGTTTCACAGTACTTTTCAACTTGCTGTGCGCATGCGAAAAATTAATGTGAAACCAACAAATATAGCTGGAATATTGCTGGGTGCTGCGTAAAACTCAGCTCACTCACTCACTCACTCCTTCATAAATCTCTTCCAATATATGTGTTTATATGTTTCATACCGTGTCAGCGACTGTCTTATAATTTGCAGTTCCCTAATTTCAATTATGTAATTTTAAACCAAAAAAGGGAATAAGGCTTACCAAGCCAAGTTAAACTATAATCTTGGAAGACCCTGCTTGTTTGAAATGTAAACAAATACAATATTCAGATTTAACGCTGTGTAGCATATTCACAACTTTTTAGACATCCATTCATGCATTTGTTGCATGCACTGGCTTAATATTTTTAGAACATACATAGGAAGAGTTTTGTAGCAAGAATTAAGAAATTATAAATAGATCTGCTACATTGGGCGATCAGGTTCTTCCATCTCATCGACTCACTCAACATTGTAGCCAGAGCCAGACACATTCCCTGGGTAAAAAATGTGATCGCCGATGCCTTGTCCCGATCCAACCAACCGTCCCCGACAGAGTGGAAGTTAATGCCCCAGATCTTTCAGTCCATGATCTACCCGTTATCACAACCTCATATAGATCTGTTCGCCACATGGTTCAACAACCAACTTCCAAAGTTCGTATCACCAATCCCAAACTCCTTGGCGTGGGACCTTGACGCGTTGGCAATATCATGGGAGGGTCTCAATGCCTACGCGTTCCCCCCTCCAGCTCTGCTACCAAAAGTAATACAGAAACTATTGGCCACCAGCAACATACTACTGCTTTTGGTCGCACCAAACCCAGTACCGCTTCCCAACTGGGACGACCTACTTCTTCACCCTCACTCGGAACTGCGCCACGGGTCACCTCAGAGTCAGACCCTCAATCTACACGTTAGATTGGCGCATCTTCAGAGGTCTCTCATAGCTAAGGGCTACTCTCGCCGAGTAGCCACAGCTATCACTTCAGGGCATCGTACTTCGACCAGTTCCTTGTACGACAACAAGTGGAAGATGTTTGAAGACTATTGCAAGCTTAGGGGAATTTCATCTCCCACTTCCACCTCGGCTCAGGTTGTTGCTGAATTTCTCCAGCATCTCCGCACTACTAAGAAACTCAAGGGTAGTACGTTAGCTACCTACTTAGCCGCCATTAACTCGGTTTTGGCTACCACCACGGGCACAAAGATTTCCACTGTTCCCGAGTTGCAGAGTCTACTACGCTCCTATAGACTCTCTGACCAGTCCAGGAAGTTCAGACGTCCGGCCTGGGATCTGTCCATCGTCCTTCGTCATATGATTTCTACAGATTATGAACCTTTAGAAGATAAGGACTTCGAACAAGTGACATTCAAGACATTCTTCCTGGTAGCTTTGGCTGCTGCTGCATTCGTATATCTGAACCGCATGCGTTTGATGTCAAGTGGATTTCGTTGCGTTCTGCCTCCAAAGTTGCCGGGCACATCCTTTGACTAAGCTTAGGCAAAGGAGCGAGGGTCGATTTGATGCTGCCTGGAACTGAATGTTAAACCTTGGAGATGCCGAGTTGTGTTTCTCTTTCACCCGCCTCGGTCAGGGTCTGGGGGGCCTTCTTCAAGCAGGGGCTGGCCTGATTCTAGTCACGAGACTTTAATTACGGGGGTACCTTGTAAATCGTGGCGAGGCGAGGCTTACTTGCCGAGTTGCATCCCTTGTCTTGTACAAGGTTGCGGCCGAACACCACATCGCTCGGGAGCACCCATCTCCCTGGGAGTCGTTGTGCTTAGTAAGTCAAGGGGTTCCGGAGAACCCACTACAAGCATAGGAGTTGCGTGCATGCGTAACAGGCCTCCCTTGTACATCGCTATCTACGGTTGTCATCAGTCCACACAGCTCCAAGACCAGCTGTTCGCACTGTCCAGACAGAATGCCGTATCGGCCTCCCCACTACTCAGATGACAACATTGGCTCCAAGATGAGAATGATCATTCAAGGTAGTCACGTGGGCAATTAGTGGAGCATGCTGCAAGCTTTATTAGGAACTAGGAAGCTAATGGAGCATGCTAGTGGAGGGTGTCAGCCCGATCTGTCGACAAATGAAAAATAGGATGTTGCTAACCGTCGACAAAACAAAAAACCCGGAGTGTCGACATCGCGTGGTTAACATACCGTGACGGTGTTAATTAATGAAAGAGAATGTTTGCTTAGTGGTTTGCAAGTGGCTATGGCGGCTACAGCTATGCTCGTATCATGAGTAAATGAATTAAGTTGATTAAAAAGAATGTCTTTTTAACAATTTGCAAGAGAATTAAGGTTGCAAAAACAGATTATTATTCTACGTTATGCGAGTGGAAGGATTACCATTTTGGAGTTTAACATGCAACAACATCTGGAAAGAAACAGAGAGCTTACACATTACTTTGTGATATTTGGAGTAGAAGGATTATCGAAATGCTGTTGTAAACATTTAGCATTTGGGTATATATAATAGATCATGAATATTTTGTTACCCATGTCAAAATGGCAAACGCTATGGTGCGCGTTACATTGATTGACAACATTCATAGAGGTCAGAATCTTTACAACAAAGGATTCAAGTACAGAGTCAACAGACGCAGAGCTCAAAAAAACATACTGGAGATGTACAGATGCAACCTGTCCATATATAAAGGAGTTTTGGCAAGAAGAAATAACTGGACTCATCTTTTATATATTTATTACTTATACACCTGCAGAAATCACTTATTTATATAAAACACACACACAAATATATTGTGTGAGCTTTATGAAATATATATACAAATATGTTATATTGTGTGACATATGATACATGCATGTTGTTATATTGACTGAATAACTATATTGTGTACTGTATATATCACACTCTGTTTTAATTAGTTTGTTAATTTCGATGACACTGGGAGTGAAGTCACTCATGTAGAACATCACCTCCCTTTTCCCGGACTGTCGACAAGTAATTTGGACGGATTATTTCTTCTTGTCGAAAGTCCGGGCATAAACCATTACAGGCACATAGATTTCTGACAAAACTTGATATACAAGAGGCAGGAGTTGGGCAAATAAGATGAAGGTGTGTGTTTATTAAAAGAGCATGGAGCATGCTGCAAGCTTTATTAGAAACTAGGAAGCTAATTAAGGAGAGCAGCATGGAGTGCACGGGTGAATGGACAAGGAGGCCTATGGGAAAAAGTTTACAGTCATTCCACTAAAAGTCGAAGCAAGAGAGAGAGGTGCAAGTCATGAGATAGGATAAATATATAAATATACAATTTATATTAAAATTTCCAATATTGTAATTTCATATAAACAATTGAATGAACAGTGATTTAATTTAACCCTATAAGTAAGACCAGAGGTACAGATAAGCTGCGTATTTGCGTAAATTGCGCATCACCACTCCACTATGGCGTTCCCCAAGGATCTGTCCTTGGACCTTTACTGTTTAGTCTGTACATTCTTCCCATTGGTGACATTGTCCGAAAACACTCACTGAAATTTCATCTTTATGCTGATGACAATCAGTTATATCTGTCAGCGGAGCCTAACCTTGCTCAAGGTTGTGCACTGATGATACAACAATGTATTGCTGAAATAAGAGACTGGATGACCTTGAACTTTCTGAAATTGAATGACACAAAGACTGAGTTCTTAACCATCGGATCCAGGCATCAACTTTCCAAAGTGCCTGACAGTTTATCTCTTGAAATTGGACAAGATGTTATCACGCAGTCCGACTCTGCAAAAAATCTTGGTGTCATCTTTCAATCAACAATGTCATTAGAAAATCAAATCAAATCACTCAGCAAAGGATGTTTCTACCATATCTTCAATATTAGCAAGATCCGAACCCTCTTAGACTTCAACACCGCCCAGCTTCTAACGACCAGCCTTGTTCTCTCTAAACTTGATTACTGCAACTCCTCTATTACAACATTCCTCAACAGCTCCTTTCACAACTCCAACGGATTCAGAATTCAGCCGCCCGTGTTGTTGCCCGTGCACCACGCTACCAAACTGTGACACCTATCCTCCAAACTCTTCACTGGCTTCCTGTATCAAGCAGAATTCAATACAAACTTCTTCTTACACACAGCTGCATCTATGAAAACATGTTTTCTCAATATCTTAAAAGCCTCATTCATCTCCATGTTCCAAGCCGATTGCTCCGCTCATCAAACTCCCTACTGCTTACACAGCCTCACGTCAAAACAGCCATGGGATCAAGAGCGTTCTCTGCTGCAGCCCCCTATCTCTGGAACATTCTACCACTCACCCTAAAAGAAATAGAATCTGCTGATGCTTTCAAAACTGCCCTCAAAACTCATCTGTTCAAACTCTCTTTTCCATAGACATTGTCTACAATCTTTTCTCTTCATAGCGCCATTGAGCAATATCTTTTGGAAATAGGCGCTCTATAAATCAATTATTATTAAATATTTATGTGA